CAGCGCTTGGGTATCTGTTTCCTGGAGGTGAGACAATGAGGACAAGGATGGCACCCTGTTTCTGGCTTTTCCAATTGGGTGGAGGGTGCTACCTTTCTCCATGTGTCAACATGAGAGGGAGAGAGTAGTTGAAAAAGATGAGTTTTGTCCTGGATATGTTGAGTTTGGGGAAGTGCTTTAGGAGCAGTCCCTGCAGGGAGTTGAAGATAAGGTCTGGATTGAAGCATGAGAAGGACGAAGATTGGCGAGGACAAGTGTGCAGTGTGAGAGGAGAAGCGACCCTTCAGTGCTCCATTGATGATGTGGCACCGCCATTCACCTTGTGGCCCAAGCTAGAAATCATGAAGTTGTCCTTGTCACCTCCCTCTCCCTCACCCTACAAATCAACTCATCACCGAGTTCTGCCTCCTGTCTGTCATATCCATGAATGTCTCTCCATCACCACTGGAGTCCAAGTCACCATCACTTCTCTCCTGTACTACTGCAATGGCCTCCCAGTTGGTTTGCTGAATTCACTCCAGTGCCCTTTCATTCACCATAATCCAGCCACAGCAATCTTCTCACTCCTTGAAAGCACCAATCTCCTTGTCTCAAGGCTTTTATCCACAAGGTTCCCTTTGCCAAGGGTACCTCTCCCTCCACACTCCACCTTCTTACACCTCCTGCCTATTCCCTGGATCTCTGCCTAAACCTCACTTCCTCATGGAGGCCTTCCCTAACTGCACACCCTTCACCCTATTGACCTTTGGGGCCTCAGAAACTTAACTTTTTTTGGAGCACCATGTGGAGGGTGTGTGATTTTGTGCTCTATAAAGTATGTTAAGTAAAAATTTAAAAGACTTATACATAAAACTTAGAATTATCAACCAAAATGAGAAATGTGGCTGTCAAGGATCAGAAGCTCATCAGTGTGGACACGTTTTTTACCTTGTAAGACAAGTCGACAGAGGAAGCCAAACAGCTTGTGAGTACAGGATTGGACAAGAAACAAAAGTTGCTTGGTTTAAATAGTTCGATTTACTAAACCATAATACCCCAGTGCCATTTCCCCTATAGAGCTCACCCTTGACCCGTGCGGCTGTCCCACCCCCACAAACTTCCAGTACTGAAGACCCCCTTCCTAGGTTTTCATCCTTCCCCTGAGCCTCAGTAGTTGACTTGCTACCCCATCAGGTGGACTTAAGCTTGCTTTAGATACGTTCACACCTACGAGGTTAATATTAAATAAGGCTAGGTCAGTCCTGGGAGCAATTTTCTCTTTTAGGTGACTTTGCACATGTCTGCTCTGATCTACTACATCTACCTTTTAGTTTTATTAAGAGCTGTGAAAGCAGACTATACTTATATTTCATTCTTTAAAAGTCTATTATTTACTATATTCATTTATTAAGCCTTAAATTCCTTCAGGATCTGAATTGTTGATTGTTTTGGAAAGCGGAACTCTACAGCCTTGAAGCTATTAGCCCTCCTAATAGTCTGGGGATTGTCAGTGTAGATTCAAAAAGAAGATGGAACTAAGGAGTGAAGCTGTTTGGAAGGAAGTTAGATAAGGAGAAAGGCTGAAAACAGTCCTGTGTATGAAATCTTGTCTTATGATTACTAACCACAAAAATACTCTTGCAAAGTTGTTTATAAAAAGCCTCCTTAGAAATTCCTGGTTTCTTTTAAACCTAGCTTTGATCTTGACGTATTCCATGCTAATCACGTGTCATGGGTAACAGGCAAGTTGGCCCCTATAGCTCCTAAAGGTATAGAGTGTCTTTAGCATAAGAGCCTCACAACCTGTCTTTGTCACCCAGACAAAAGAAGACATAGAATGGCCAGATCACTCTGGTAAATTTATTTGAGTTTACCTTGAAACCATAGGTGGGAGAGGTTTTGTTATGACAGAGGGCACTTCAATAGGGACACCCCATTGTGGCTTCTCTAGTTTCCTTTTAGGGCTGATTTGGAACTTCTCATTCAAACTTGTTGAAGTAAATTTCCCTTCTTAGCATATTTTCTTTCAAATCTGCCAACCGTGGTGAAAGGAGGTGGAAGAGAAGTGCTTCTGTGGCAGAGACAAGTATGGCTGTAGCTTCAGCCTCAGGGTATAACATTCTGATAAGTGGCTTGTCCTAGAGAGCTGACCCCTGAGGCATGTTGTGGCCCAGGGTCAGCCCTGATGGGGGTGCCCAGGACCTGTCTGGGAATGCATGGAAGTGGCTCTCAGGATATTGATCTCAAAGTGTTAGGAGCATGTCCTGAACAACTGTCCTCAGTTATTCATTCTCATGAGTTGAAAGAACAGTGGATAGTTGAGAGGATACCCAAGGGGACTAAACCTCGAACAGGGTTTACTCCACTATACATCTGGTGCTATTACCAAGTAAAGAAAAGAAGAAGGATAGAACATAAGCAATACCTACTTATGCTTGTGATTGTTCATCTACATGATGGCTATAAATGGCACATTACACAAAACTGAGCTGTGGGCATAATTTATTCATATACTTGCATAGAAATTTGTTATACAGACATTAGGAAAACATAAGTGCTCCCTACAAATACTCACTTTTAGAATAATAGTAACAAAAGAGCTTGAGAAAATGAATGTTATTTAAATTAGACAATGTACAAGGCTTTACAATGTTCCTGTTTAAGGATTTGTGTGAGCACAAGAAGATGCTGCACCATAGTGTCCTGTTCTGAAGATCAACTTGAGTCCATGTTAGAGGCCTCTGGTTCACTCAACCACAGCCTAGATTCTTCACTGCTGATGATCTTTGGTTATGCTTGCTTTTTTCACCCCTACAATTCTTCTTTCACACATTCCCTAACAAGAAAGGTTTCAGTTCAAACACTGAAAATTGAGCTTCTCTACAGCAAGATCCATAAACTATGACAGTTGCAAAGTTCATAGTTTCAAAGGCTTTGGTCAAGGGGTTTTAAAATTGGAACAGTGTGTGCTTGTTTGCTTTCCTGAGAAAGGGAAGAAGTGAGCTTCTCCCTAAAATATTTGTAAGTTTATTTCCCTATTTCTGTTTATTCATTCAGCAAACTGTATATTGTGCATTAAGCACTGCAAACTTGAAGTGGAAAAAACCTTCAGGATTCCGAAGTTTCACTTTCCAGCCTCCAAAACACTGCACGATACATACTGAAATGGAAGGTAAATGAACATGACTTCCTTTTTTTTGACAGAGTTTCGCTCTTGTTACCCAGGCTGGAGTGCAATGGCGCGATCTTGGCTCACCGCAACCTCCGCCTCCTGGGTTCAGGCAATTCTCCTGCCTCAGCCTCCTGAGTAGCTGGGATTACAGGCACGCGCCACCATGCCCAGCTANCAACCTCCGCCTCCTGGGTTCAGGCAATTCTCCTGCCTCAGCCTCCTGAGTAGCTGGGATTACAGGCACGCGCCACCATGCCCAGCTAATTTTTTGTAGTTTTAGTAGAGACGGGGTTTCACCATGTTGACCAGGATGGTCTTGATCTCTTGACCTCGTGATCCACCCGCCTCGGCCTCCCAAAGTGCTGGGATTACAGGCTTGAGCCACCGCACCCGGCCATGACTTCCTTTTTAAATTAATTAATTAATTAATTAATTAATTAATTATTTTAGAGAGAGGTTCTTGCTCTGTCACACAGGCTGGAGTGCAGTGACATGGTCATAGCTCACTACAGCCTCAAACTCCTGTGCTCAAGCAATCTTTCCACCTCAGCCTCACGAGTAGCTGCTGCAGACGTGCGTCGCCACACTTGGCTGATGTTGTTATTTTTATTTTTTTAGAGATGGGGTCTTGCTGTGTTGCCCAAGCTGGGGCTCCAGAGTTTGCCTCCATCTTCGAAAGTGCTGGGATTACAGGTGTGAGCCACTGTGCCCAGCCTCTGAACATGACTTCTATTGCTGTCTTCAGCATGTTTGGTCACAGAACCTTTAGAGAATTGATAACTTTTAAATGAAGGAGAGGAAAACAGGAGAATCCTTACCTGTATTTCTTTTTTTCTTTTTCTTTTTTTTCTGAGGCAGGGTCTCACTCTGTCTTCCAGGCTGGAGTGCAATGGCGTGATCTCAGCTCACTGCAGCCTCCACCTCCTGGGCTCAAGCGATTCTCCCACCTTTGCCTCCTGAGTAGCTGGAACTACAGGCGCCCAGCACCACGCCTGGCTAATTTTTGTAATTTTTGTAGATATGGGGTTTTAACATGCTGTCCAGACTGGTCTTGAACTCCTGGGTTCAAGCAGTCTGTCCACCCGAGCTCCCCAAAGTGCTGGGTTATAGGCATGAGCTATCATGCTCAGCCTTCATTTCTTTTTGGTGGTTCAAATGCCATTGGTTTCTGAGAGAGAATATTGTGAGTGTGCAGAAAATAATGAGCTTTTATTAATTAAGAAATTCAACAACTTATAAAAATAACACCCATAAGCAATCTGTCCTTTGCCTTCAGTCTTTATAAGACATCCTCAAATGAATAAGAAATATGATTTTAAGGAGCCCTTTGGAGGTTGGTAACAATTCTATGCATTTGTGGCATTTACAAAATCAATGTAGGGGCTAAAGTGAAAATACCTGAGTATTTCATAAATACAGTATGTAAGTTTTCTTTAATATCTAAGAACAGGTTAAGCCAGGAACTTCTCCTATTTTGTCTCTTTTAAAACAGATCATTTTTCATATGGAAAAATAATCTCTACCTAAAAAATCCTTTACAGTCTGTAAGAAAAGTTGCAATACAGAATAATTTTGCTGAACAAAATTCCTCTCTCCCTCTTGCAGTCCCATCAGTCTGAAAAACTCCAACTATGTCCCATGAGAGAATGCCACACACAGAATGGACAGGGTGCAGGCCATTGTTTGCAGGAAGTGGGGACCGAGCTCGGCTGTCAGCTTGCATCTCTGTAATATTGACCCAGGCTGTAATTTGTAACTTGCATTGATTTTTTTTTTTCTTTTAAAGCTAAGCTGCTTGTCACAGAATTCTGAATTAATTTCGATTTTGCAACTGTGAATTCCATAAGGCTTAGTTGGTTTATGGGGTTTAATTTTTAATACTGTTAACATCATCCAGCTAGTGAAACACCAAGAATATCAATAAATAACAATAGTTTGTTTTTACTTCCTCCTTCTGTTGGAGCACTTTGACTTTATATGTGTTCCAGTCTGAGTGCTAAGCCCCCACTGGGCTTTCCAATTCCATACAAGAGCACATCACCTAGATGTGGCTCTCATATGCTTGAGGATACTCCTGGAGTTGAAAGGAAAATGCAAAATGAGCATAAGAACAGATCGCAGATGCGTTAGTATGAAAGTTGATACTCATGGAAAACAGCAGTTTGCTGAGATCCTGGAAGTTAGCTGGAGCAGTCAGGCAGAAATGACTCGTGACCATGGCTGCAGATGGGGCTTATTCTCACAAAGGGCTTTCCACTATCCTTTTCTTGGTTTGCAGGTAGAAGATACGGTTTTCTTCAGGATAAGTAACTTTACTGAGGGGCATCTTGTAGATGTTGGAATTTTTTGTGGTCATGATGAGGAACAATATCGTGGCCAAGCAGAAGGGCCAGGTACAAGCTGGCAATCCAATCTGGGAAAGAAGAGAAAGCCACATACTCCTTTCAGATCCCATCTGACAGCTGGGCTGCACAAAGCATCCCCCTCTACTCACATTCAGCCCAGGGGGATGAGCCACTGGGGACACTGCGGTGGATTCTGTGCATGCTCATGGAGACTGAGTCTACAATCTCAGGGCACTGAGCAGTTGGAATGTTGACATCCATTCTTTAGGGTAGTCACTTATGTCTCTATCTTGTATGTCTTTCTCTCCCTCTCGTATATTCAGATTTCCTGTCCCAGATGTGCCAAGAGGACACCTGACAGACAGAGACGACACTTGCAAATTGCAGATGGCCCCTGACCACTCGTCATGTATGCAAGGCCTTCTATGATTAGTCCAACCCACAGTAACCTCTCTAATCTTGACTTTTGCCTGGTCTAGGTCTTAGACTTGACTTACTTTGTTTCTTTCCATTCTGTTTCCCAAATAGACTCTAAGTTCCTTGAGGGTAGGCCCTCTTTGTGCTGCCCATGGAAACACACAATTCTGAGCACACACCATTGGTTAGCTCTGGCCAACGCATGGACCTCTGCAGGGTGTGATGGAGTGTAGAGGTATCCTAACATGACTGTACATAGAATCATCTGGCATAGTTAAAAAAACATATGTTCAAGCATCATACAAGACCTACTCTATCAGCAATACCAAAGGACAGGGCCTAAGGCTCCATATTTTTCTGCCTTCCTAGTTGATTCTGATGTGCAGTTTGCCCATTTGGGTCCATGGACTGATGCCTGTGAACCTTCTTTGTTGACATGTGAAGGGCTCCCTGTGCTCTGATATACCCTCCATCATGCATGGCTATAATGGCACTTTGGCTTTCTACCAGAAAGACACTCTGTCTCCTTAGGGACCCTCCCAGATAAAATCTCCATGCTGCTGCCAAGAGGGCTAGATGCTGCCTTGAATCCTTAGCAGCCATGACCACGTCAACATGGACTGAGCTATCAGAAACTGGCCCGGCATCACCTGCAATGGAATATCTGGCTTTCTGGTTAAGGGAAAGATATCCTAAAGTCTACTTCTTATCACTCAGAGTTAGCCTCTGAACTTGATAATATATTATACAACCTAAGTTTCATTTTTTTTTTTAACCAAGCCATCTGATATTTGTAACATACTGGGTGATTGTGGATTAGACTAAAATTTGCTGTGATGCTGAAAGGCCAGGCAGCTCCAGCAGAAGGGAGAGCAGTGTTTCACGTGGTCATGGGTCCTGCCACCGGATGCCACCACAGTGGACTTCAGGAGCACTTCTCATATAATTGAAAGCTTGTCAATTATGCTAATAAAAAGTGAGATTAAAGCAAACTCACCCCAGCCATTATGTTTGCCATCCCGACTCCAAGATAGGCCGTGAACAGGGCTATAGAAAAAAAAAAAAAAAAAAAAAAAAAGAGAAAGCGAGAGAGAACAATGCTTGGTAGATGCACTTTTAATCACAGGAAAGGCTTCCTTCCAATATAAATCACCTAGAATGCACAGTGCCCTGGTTACAAGCATGAGCCTAAAGTCAGGAGTCCTGGGTTCAAATCCTGGCTCTACCACTTAGGAGCTCCATGGACTCTGTTTTAACCCTCCATTTCCTCACCTGTACAATAAAAATAAGAGGAATATCTCTTTCATAGTGTTGGTGTGAACTTGAAAGTAAATAATGCATGTGTTTAGCACACAGTAAGTGCTCAATAAAGGTAGTTTTTTGTGGTTACTATTTTGTTGTTATTGCTGATACTTAAGGGAAAGTCCTTCCATGGCAACAAACTTCTCTGATGTTTTATCCAAGCATAGCTGAATTAAAATGAAACTTATGAATGTTTCTTGAGATAGCATGGTTTCTTTTTTTTTTTTAAGACGGGGTTTCACCATGTTGGTCCGGCTGGTCTTGAACTCCCAACCTCAGGTGATCCGCCCGCCTTGGCCTCCAAAGTGCTTGGATTATAGGCATGAGCCACCACGCCCGGCTTGATAGCATGGTTTCTAAACAATCTCTCTGCCTCTAGGATTCTCATATTAATGAACTGAATTCCTAGCAACAAAAAATCATAGTGCTTGCTTTGGCAGCCCATGTACTCAAAACCGAAACCAAACCATATATACCAAAATAAGAAGGAAAGAACAGAGAGCAGTAGGAACTGAACACAAACTCAGGATTTCTGCTCTTGATAACATCTTCTCCAATACCATTAAAATCAATGAATAGACGTCTTATGTTTTTATTTACTTTGCATGGCCAAAAAAATTTTAGAGTCAGTAATTTGAGTATAGGTGTGACTTTCCATGTAAAACAACAAAAGCAAAGATATCAACCAGCTAATTATCTATTCCTCAGTTTTGGTTGAAGAGGAGGCTCACAGAGGCTCAGGGAAGCCCTCAGATTTCATGGGGACAGCCTGAAGAATGGCCTTCATATAATGGCCACACAGCCACTTGGGCCACCAGAGCTCACCGTTAGACACACTCACCATCTCATCTTCATGTCTGGTGAGAAATCACATGAGCTGTCTTGGTGTGTGGGGATGTGGCAGGACATGGTGGGAGGGCCTCTGTGACCCTCATTTACGTTACCATAGACTTCTGTCCTTTGACTAATATGTTATCTTTTTATCCTGGTGTTCCTTATTCAATAGTAGATCAAATGTTTTCATGTCTGAATTGTCTCACACTAGCAGGAAGGGCTGGTCTTTGGAAACAGTACTGGTTTCAAATCCCAGCTCTGCCATTTTATTTGTTGTATAACAAATCACTGAATGTCTTGGAATCTAGTTTTATCATCTGTGAAAAGCAACTTGAAGATCTGCCTTACTGGGAGGTGATGAATCTCAAATGAGAGGTTGTAGTTCCACAAACACAGATGTGAATGCACCTCTTTCACCATGGGACTAAACTACTGCTCTGAGCAGAAGGGTGCTCATGGCTTGGCTTAGAAGGGTTTCTCTCCTCAGTCACATCAATTCCATTCATTGTTAAAGTTTCATTAATCAATTAATTCAACAACTATTCATTGGCCCTCTGCTAAGCACCGGGGCCCTCTGTCCCTGCTCTCATGAGTGCCCCCTCTGCCACAACACCGCCCTTGAGCACATGAGACCTTACTGCCTTCTCTCCTTTTGAGTCCCACTATGATAACCCAGCCGTTGAGAAGAATACAAAATGTGTTTACAGTTTCCACTAATAAAACAACAACATGGAGACATTCTCTGGCCATGCAGTTGTCCTGGCTTAGAGGCCAGATAAGAGCAGTGCCAGGTTCTGTTAGAGTTTCCCGAGTCCCCTTCCGGATAAAGTCACTGGGAACTAATGAAAAAACAGCTCTGTAATAAATATCTGCCATTTATTTACCTTGGCTGACAGGGTTGGTCTTTTGTTTGGCAGTATCGGGGTGCTGTGGACAAGCTGAAACTTGCTGTGGCATTTTACATGTGAGATTTGCTTGACAATAGGGGCTGGAGATCTGTCTCAAAAATCCATGCGCAGAGATTTAAAAGTCTGATTGTACCCCGCGGGGACCCAACGGGCACTGTCACACGCTGTTGGCAGCAGTGGAAACTGGTATGGCCCTTTTGGTGATGAAGTTGGCATCCATTGAAATTAAAATTGGCTTTCCCTTTAACCCATCAATTCAGCTTCTTGGAAAGAAGGTGAATCTTCTTTCTTACAAAAATGCTTGTACAAAGTACACAAGGACATTTGTACCAAAAAGATTCGTTGCAGGACTATTTGTAATGGTTTCAAACTAGAAGCAATCTGAACTTCCCCCAGCGAGAGGGCACTTATCATATAAAGTGTCTACACAGCCACCATCTCCATGGCCTTGAGCAGTGGAGGTTCTACACCCTGCAGCATGGGCCTCCCTTTTTCTTAGATACATCAGGAAAAATGCAGCTCAGGCCTGGGCTTCCACTCTCCGCTCAGGGACTCACCCAGACAGCTGATATCCTGAGGGAAACATGAGCTCCCAGGACAAGGAAAAGGGACATCCTAGGGGAGCAAAGACCATAAAAGAAGGACAATAAACCGAATAACCTACAGTCGATACATTTTTTTTTTTTTTGAGACAGTCTCGCTCTGTCACCAGGGAGGAATGCAGTGGCGCCATCTTGGCTCACTGTAACCTCTGCCTTCCAGGTTCAAGCAATTATCCTGCCTTAGCCTCTTGAGAAGCTGGGATTACAGGAGCGTGCCATCATGCCCAGCTAATTTTTGTATTTTTAGTAGAGATGGGATTTCACCATGATGTCCAGGGTGGTCTTGGTCTCTTGACCTTGTGATCAACCCACCTCAGCTTCCCAAAGTGCTGGGATTACAGGCGTCAGTCACTGTGCCTGGCCAATAAAATTTAATTAATGTACCAGAAATGAAGAACTCAATGGATGATGTGGTCAGCACAATGGACAGAGTCAAAGAATGATGGGGCTGATCAACTGAACTGAAGGGCCTCATGAAAAGATAGAGGGAAAATATTAAGAAAAAGTCAAGAGCTATGAAAAAAATAACATAAAATATTGCACTCAAATCCTAGAAATCACAGAAGGAGAGGGGAAAAAATTGAAAAGATGTGACAAAGTGAAAACTGATATTGTTCCCAGAATTAAGGAAAGATATGAGGGCTCGCACTGAGGGGACTTGAGTACCAAGTAGCATAGGAAAAAAAGCTACATCTAGACAGATAATAGTGAAATAAAACTATGTATATATCTAATATGTGAAGAGAAAATTCAGAGTCCAGAGAGAAAGATAAAATCAACTTTAACAAGAATCAGTTTCTTTTCAGACATCTTAATAACAATTTAAGGTATAAGAAGATAATGGAGTAGTTTTTGAAGCCAATTTTCAAAATATTGAGAAAAAATGTTAAATCTTGACTTTGGTAGCCAGCAAAACTAAAATTTAAATGAAGGCAGAATGAAGATATTCTCCAGCATACAAGGTCTCTTTGCTAACCCTCTTTGAAGAAAACAAAACTCTCTTTGCAAACCCTCTTTGAAAAAGTAATCCAGCAGGAAGACACATAAATACAGAAGGTTGCTGAGCACAGTGGCTCACGCCTATAACCTCAGCATTTTGGGAGGCCGAGGCTGGCAGATCACTTGAGGTCAGGAGTTTGAGACCAGCCTGACCAACATGGCAAAACCCTGTCTCTACAAAAAATACAAAAAATTTTTGTATCACTTGAACCTAGGAGGTGGAGGCTGCAGTGAGCTGAGACTGCAGCACCGCACTCCAGCATGGGGAACAGAATGAGACTCTGTCAAAAAAAAGAAAAAAGAAAAAAAATACAGAAGGTTCATATGAACTAAGTCAGAGTGAAGAAACAAGTTAATAAAGTTTACAGTTGCCTAAATAAGCAAGTATCACAAACAAAAACCCATACTTACAATTAATCCAAAATAAAAATTCTATCCAGTATCAATGGTTTTAGTAGTTGTTAGGGGGTGGGCCTACTCAGAGGAAGTAAAAGCAGGCCCAGGTATTAGTTGTATTTGGGGAGAAGGTACAAGTGTTGATGAACTTAAGAAATTGAGAGGAGAAAATAAACAAGTTTGATTCTTATTAAGTTATGCAAAGCCACCAGAAAAACTTTTTCTCAGACTTTTAAATAGTGCTTACTGAGTGCTAGACACTATCTATTCATTGAGTTTTACACACACATTAATTTAATCATCAGAACGACAGTGTGAATTAAATATGGTAACTTCCATTTTTTAAGATGGGAAAACTGAGCCATGGAAAGGTTAAGTAATTTGCTTAAGTTCATAAGCAAACACACTAGCAAGTAGCAGAACTGCTGGAATTCAATTCAGGCTATCTGGCACCAGAGTCTGAGCTCTTAACTAGCTCAGTATACTGCCTTAACCATTATGCTACACCAGTGGAAAAAAAAAACACACACACACACACACACACACATCTATCCAAGGGAAGGTGAGTGTGGTAGGAAGAATAATGTTCCCCAAAGGTGTCCACATCTTAAGCCTTGGAACCTGAGACTGTGTGACCTCAAATGCAAAAGGGACTTAGCAGCAGCTGTGATTAAGTTAAAGACCTTGAGATGGGGAGAGTATCCTAGACTATTGAATGGACCCAATGTAATCACAAGGATCCTCATAAGAAAGAGGCAAAAAAGTCCTTTCTAGGGAGTAAGGTGGAGTGTTTCCACTTTCTGTTGTATACATTTCTATACAGATTACATTTTTATTTTGTTTTATACAATAAACCTGTGCTGCTGCTTCTATAATTGAGAAAATGTCAAAGATATTCCCATTTGGGGAAGCACATGTCAAGAGCTTTGGCTTCGTCCTTCTCCATGGTCTGCCAAAATCTCATCACCGTCTCCTGTGCTCAAGGTGGCTTCTCCTTGATGTTGAAGGACATGCTCAGGCTGTCCCCAGGCTGGCCTGCACCACCCTTTCCACCAAACGGAATTCCTCCTCTTATTTTCTAGCATTTATGGAAAAGCCCCCTTCTCTAGGAGGCACTTTGTGATCATTCTGAATGGAAATGGCCCCCTGGAGAATCCTGTACTGTGGACTTCTCCTTCTTCTCCCACAAAGATTGCATGGTGTCCCTTGGGCTCCCTCCCTTGCCTGGCTTCTGCCTTCTACTGTAATGCTCTGTCCACAGGAACTGCAGAGGACCTAAAGCTTCTAAATCACTTGCTCTTCCTGGTACTGTCTCAATTGTATCATGTGTGTTTAATACATATTTGTGGCTATGGCCCCCAGAAAAATAAAGGTATGCATCCCAAATAAAGGTTTGAAACCCCTAACGAATCTCAGAATAAAGCTGAAAGGTTATAGGATAAACATTCTAATCCAGCTGAACTCAGGTGACTACAGCACCTGTCCATAACCCTCTCCTTTACCCTAAGCTTGTGAACAAATATGGAGAAGGAGCACAACATTTAAACAGAACTGTTAGGTGAAATAACTGAGTAACAGTAAAGAATTTTACAAAATGACATCTACATGGCTATACCACAGCAACCTGAGTTGTTACCTTTGCTATAGCATCAAATCAAAATAGAATGGGTCTTTAAAAACCACTGGTATCATCCTATTTTCTGCCAGTGCAGAAACCTATTCTAAACCTTGCCTGATACATGGTCCACCATTTTAATAACTGCTTAGATACCTTGATTAATCTGGTGATAAATTGACTATAGACATATGTTTTCACTAGATTAGAAATAATTTCTCCACATTCCACTAACCTTCCTTTTTGTTCCCAAGGGATTCACATTCTCTCCACTCTAGAAGGTTATTTTAAATGCTTATACTTTTGTTGAATTAGAGATGCCAGAGGCTATGGGTGAATGAGCCTCCATTCACAATCCACCTGGGACATCCATTAGCTTTTCAGATTTAAATCACATGCAGTCTGTTTTCACCTAAGAGGTTGCGCTGAAGGCCTGAATGCTACAAAAGGGAAGCAGAGGAGAGCAGTCGGATAACTCTGGAGGTGAATGGTAAGTGTGGGTTCTGGGTGTGAATTTACCCCTCACTGCCCAGATGCCCTGCAGCATATCCCTTAGCCTCTCTGGCCTCGGGACCCCAACAATAAAGTGAGAAGGATGGAGTGGAAGTCTCCAGAATGCCTTGTTGCTCTGACAGGCTGAGTCTGGCAAGAACACTGGGGGTCAGAAAGGATTAATACAACAGTTCTTGAAATGTGGTCCCAAGAACAACAGCATCAGCACTGCCTGAGAACTTGTTAGAAGTGAAAATTCTGAGGGTGCGGTGGCTCACGCCTGTAATCAGCACTTTGGGAGGCGGAGGCGGGAGGACTGCTTGAGCCCAGGAATTCAAGACCAGCCCGGGCAACATAGGAAGACCCCGTCTTTATTGAGCTGTGTTCATGCCACTGCACTCCAGCCTGGGCAACAGAATGAGACCCTTTTTCAGAAAAAACAAACAAAAAACATTCTTCCCCCCCACCTCTAACACTGAATCAGAGACTGAGGAGGGGTGGGGGAGGGCAGCAATTTGTGTTTTAACAGGTCTTTCAGGTGATTCTGATGCACTCTCAAGCTTTAAAACGGCTGGATTACTGTGATGCTCAAAGAGCCAAATGTAATCAATTCTGATTGACTAGGGGATGTTGCTCTGTATTTAGCTGGCGTTATTTCCCTTTAGTTTCTTGGGTCAAACAACTATTTTGAAGAAGGTAGGACAAGTCGTTTCTATCCTCCCAAACATCCATATTTTAGTATGTTAATATGAGTCAACAGGCTCTTGCCTTCACAATCACCAGGGAGGTAGGCAGAGGCGACTCAGAGAAGGGGTGTTACTTGTCCTGTTCACACACTTAGACAGCAAGTGGCCCCAAGCCAGACCCCTGGCCCTGATTTTTATTGCTTTTCCTTTATTTTGATCCTGTAGTCATGAGCAGCCCTCCCCAGGTGTGCGGGAGACTCACCGCAGCCAAGAGCCAGGATGTGGGTTTGCCAAGTGAGCGCCATGAACATTCCTCCCATTGCAATGCAGGCCAGAGAGCTGTTGAAACCCCAGAGTCCAAAGTAGATGTCCTCAAATGGGGCTGCAAGACTGAGTCCTGTTAGACAAGACAGGAGGGGTCAGAGCTTAGGACTAAAGGCAGGATGTTGTGGAAGGAGACTGAGGGTGGGCTTGCAGGTTAGCAGGAAGCATCCCGAGAACTCCCATTGGTCGGTAGGAAGCCAAGACCGCAAGAAAGATCTGGAGCACAGGAGATGCCTGAGACTGCATGGGATGGAGGAGGTGCTTGATATTTGGTAAGGGCCCTTATGCTCACCTGCTGCTATGCCCAGCAAGGATCCAATGGCAGCATGCAGGCACATGAGTGGGGAGGCGAGCAGGATGGCTCCCAGGAAAATGCCCCCTGTCCACGGATTATCACAGCCGTAGATCTGACCAACCCCCACTGGTATAGATTTCAATAACTGCAAAAGAAATTTTAAAAAATGAGGCTGCCAAAACAACTGGAAACCCCCCAGGACACCCACAAACTCCTACAATGTAATTTTAGACTTGACATACCTTATCTTTTTCAAGAACAGTGTTACTGCCTTTTGAAATTCTCTCTCTCTTTCATTACAGAAAAATCCCAGCCATTCTTCAGCTTTATCCCCAGAGACACACCAGCCCTTCCCTGGTGCATGCCATGCATGCCTTCTCAAAGCTCCCCCTGCGGGCTCTCCTGCTTGCACTGACACTTGGCCTTGGTCACCAATAAGCTCCCAGTGTGATGCCACTCACTGGTCCTGGCTGTGAGGATCTGCCATGCTTCCTCCTGGGGATGGCAGGGACCACAGCTGATACTTCTTTTGCTTTCAACTGTCCGTCAGTGCTGAGGACAATCTATTCTATCCATGCATCCCTATGTTCAATAGAGACATTATTATCACCATGCAATTTGGATGCTTACACTAAAGCCAGAGACCCCAAAGCCAGGCTCTTATCCACAATTTAGAAGCAATTATTAGCAAGTTTGTGAATTTACTTTTCTGTCTTTAAATGGAACATGTATTCATTTAAACCAAGATATCTTTAGCTTATTCTAGTTATGCACAGCTGTCAAGCAGGTCTCAAAACACAAAAATACATGGAAATGTCACAATTCTACTTCCTGGCTGAGGCCTGAATTTAGTTATTCTGTTCACAGAATGGCAGTTCTCAGGAGTGAACAAGGGTTTGGCCGCACCTAACAAGTGATCATTCTTTACAGCTGAGCTTCTGGTAGGGCTAGGATAGGCATAATTAGCCACTGCATGTCCCTTTTGAGCAAGGCTATTTACTGAAAGATGTTTTCCCCAGCTCCCATCTTGCCCTCTCCGCCATTTCTAGGTCATATGTGTACCAAAGACCTTTTGGAGGCAGTGACTCTGCCAGAGGCAGCCCCAACTTTGGCACAAGGGAAAGTGTCTTCTCCCGTATATTAGGCTGAGTCTAACACCGGCTAAGGGCACTGACCATAGTGTGAGTTTGCCTCTATCCTAAGGTAGACTCTAAATTCTTCCAGCCCATGCTGGGTCTTCATGTCTAAACATTTGCTATCTCTATACCAGGAAACTTGGCAAAGATGGCATAGGCTTTTTTTTTTTTTTTTTTTTTTGGACTTGACTGCAGGACTCTGTCTCAGGTAGCCATGGGGTTGGGGTTGGTGCTGATGGTGGGCTGGTCGTTCAGAGTGAAGAGAAGGACAAGGCTTCCCCTGCCCCAGATCAGCACTGTGCAGGAGAACTTTCCGAGGCGATGCCATAGTCTGTATCTGTGATGTCTAATACAGTGGGTTCTAGCCACGTGTGGCTGTCAAGCACCTGAGATGTGGCTGGAGAGGTTGAGGAACTCAATTTTTAATTAATTTACATCTAAATTTATATAGCCACGTGGGGTTGCTGGCTCCTGTGTTAGATAGTGCGGTTCTAGATAGCTTAATGCTATTTTATACTGTTATTTTTCATGGGTAGTTCTAATGAATCTTTGATTTTCCTTCTGAATTATTTCTAGGTGCTCCCTCTCATTTTCTGGCAATAAGCTAAAGAAAAGGTGACTTGAGCTCCTCCTGTGTTTTGATCACTCAACGAAGAAGACAGAAAAGGGTGTTTCATAACCCGAAAGTGGGAGAGCACATTGAAAAAGGTAAGGTTTCTTTGGTTTTCTTCCAATTTCGGGTGTTCTCTTGTTCTTGACAATCCAGAAACCTTAAGCAGATTCATTATACACCAACAGGAAGGGCTGGAATTTGATTTGGGTTAACTAGGTTTTAAAAAATACAGGATCTCTTTATCGCCATCTTTAAAGAGATACATAGAATGCATCCCTTGATATAGCGCTTCTCAAACTCTGGCCTGCATCACAATTTGGGGAGTTTGTTAAAACAGGTTCCAGGTCCCACCCTTAGAGATTATGACTTAGAGTGTCTGTTTGGGTGTTTAAAAACAAAATTGCCCAGGTGATTCTGATGCCTATCAAATCTTGTGAACCCTAAATTATTCTACATGTTCTATGGGCTATGCCATAAGGAAGAGCAGAATAGTGAGGTGCTGTCATGAGCTCTAACAGTAAGCATCCAGTTTTTTGATTGGAGGAAGTAGATTGTGGAAGATTTAAAACCAGGCTGGAGGCCACATGCCTTAAGGGCTGGCTCCTATCACCTCACCCCCAAGCTTACGATAGAGTGACTCCCAGTGGAACTACACTCTGGGGCTAGCACTGTAGATGTTTAGAGTAAAAGGCAGAAAAATTAGCTTGACTAAATAATAATTTTAAAAAAACCCCTTAGATCCCAATGCTCTGGAGTAGAACAAATGCCTTAAATGGCAAGATGAAGGCAGAAAGGCCACCATGGTTCTGAGCATCTAGGAGACTCTGACATCCATGGACAATGGACTAGGAGGCCATTACGTATCTTGGAGAGCCAGGGGGAATGTGAGAAGCCAGTGTCTCTTACCTCCAGGGCACTTAGATCAGACCAGGAGATATTTGGCTGTGAAGTTACAGGTATGACCAATTTGCCTGGAAAGAACGGATTGTAATGTCCTGTGGCTGAAACGTACATTGACAATGCCATGTTGAAAGGGAGGGTGAAGACAGGGAGGTCCCATCTGATGAGCACAGAATTCAATGCGCTTGAGAAAATTGGGCTAAAAAAAGAACAGAGCAGAAGAACATGCATGTGACAAACCAGGCCGACACACGGAATCGCTATACTCCAGAGGGACTTTGTTTCACCTGCCAATAGGTCCCTCACATGTTGTGCTGGCAAATTTGCCACAGAAAGAAAACTTGGGATAAATCCTATTATAGAGACAGTAAATATTGCATAAAGTAAAAACTCACCTCTCAGCTTATTTGGCTTTTGAAAAATTCTACTTGGAGTTGCTCAGAGTGAGCTATATATTGAGATTTTAAAAATAATTTTGAAGTACTTATTACATACAAAATAAAATATTGTCTACATAGTTAAAGTCCCCGTTGTACCTCCTCTTGCTCTTATGTCCCTCCCTCCCCACTAGGGGCAGCCGCGATCCTGAATTTGGCATATATCATTTCTTTCTTGTATCTATCTTTGGAAAAGAGAAACAATTGTTCAAGGATGTGGGTAGTGTGAGCGAGAGGAAAAAGATCTCAAGAGTGTGCGTCCTTGAGCTGTTGATAAATTGCATGACCTGGGCAAGGCGCGTCTCCTCAGTCTCCGAGCCTGTAAACTGGGGGGCTGGGCTGTATGGTCCCCAGGTCCCTGTAGGCTGTCATTTGTTGGCCCAATCAAGGAGCCATCACTTAAAGACCAGAACTCCCATTTTCCTGGATTGTAGAAGGGAGTGTGGTGAGCACTTGCAGGCGAGGCCTCCTTCCCATGAACCTATTCTTCAGAGCAGGTCCCAAATTACCTCTTGAGGAGGCTGGTTCTATAGGTAGGTCCTCATCCACATACCCGTGGGTGCAGCAAGGGTGAGTGGCCCTTCTGCAGACACTGCCCACAGCAGGCTGTGCTTCTCATTTATGTGCATATTAGTATTTTATATTTAATTGCAATATAGAAAGAAGGAAATCTTTGTTTCCAGAAAAAGGATTTAAGACAATATCAACATAAAAACTAGTTTGAAGGATTCGGTTTTGAAAAAAAATGAAATTCCGTGGAAAAAAATTTTCTAAGGGAGCCTGTAAACTGGGGGGCTGGGCTGTATGGTCCCCAGGTCCCAGTGCTGGGGGGCAGGTGGGTAAGGAGAATTCACGTAGGCACAGTGGTTCTCCCAGCATCACCTGGGAATGTGTTAGAAATGCAAATGATCAGGCCCCACCCCAGACAGACTAAATCAGAAACCCCGGGGATGGGGAGCAGGTGCCTGTATTTTAACAACCACTGCAGGTGATTCTGATAGTGCTCAAGTTTGAGAAGCAATGATGAAGGCAGTGGGTCTGAACTTAGGCTATACTGTAGAGTCACCTGGGAAGCTTTAGAAACTCCCAATGCCCAGGTGCTAACGCAGACAAATGACAGCAGAGTCTTGGGAGGGAGGAGTTAGGTGTGTGTGGGGCCATGTGCATTAGTGTGTTTCTACCAAAAAGACACCTGCACTCGTATGTTCACTGCAGCACGGTTTCTGCTCCCCACGGAAGTGTCAGTGTGCAGCCAGGGTTGAGAACCTCTGGTTGAGAGGTATTGTTGGATGTGTAGCCACATCAGACAAAAGGCCAAATAACTGGTTGTAAGGAAATAAACATCTTATAAAATGGTTGTTTCTGTTTCCGACAGAATCTAAAGGAATCCAATTTTAAATTTACCATTTTAGCCATTTTCCCTCCTCTTCCCTCTCCTGCTTCTCCCCTTCCTTCTCCCTCCTCGTCACCCTCCTTCTCTTTCTTCTGTTCACTCTGACCAAGCAAGGAGGTTCTGGAAACTGGAGTGCAGTGATGCAATCATAGCTTACTGCAGCCCCTAACTCCTGGGCTCAAGTGATCCTTCCCCCTCGGCCTTCTGAGTAGTTTGAACTACAAGCGAGAGCCACTGCACCCGGATAACCATTTTAAGTGTGCAGTTCAGTGACATTAAGAATAATCCCATTGTTGTACAACCATCATCACTATCAATTTGCAGAAAATTTTTCATCTTGGAAAACTGAAACTCTATGTCCATATGAAAATAATGCCCATTCCCCACTCCTGCCATATATTTTTTTAAAAAGGCATTTTGAAAACCAGTTGTAACTTACCAAGTCATGGACATAGCACATATAGGGAATAACAACCACCAGAAATAGTCTCCGTTGTCTGAAAAGACGGCCATGAGTATTCCCACCAGGGTAGCATTGTAGCCATAGAGCCCAGACGCTATTGATGACCTGCGGGGCAAGAGACACAGCACGGACATTTTCTGGGTGGGCTTTGGTTGCACTTGCACATAAATAACACTCGTAACTTCCAGATCATAATCATATTAAAAATGAGATTATATTTTGAAATGTATTTCAAAATCTATATAAGTATTTTACAAATACTAATAAAGACATGAAGTGAAATATACATAGATAAAAATATAAATGTGCATTTGGATCTGTGGTCCCCAACCTTTTTGGGACCAGGGACAGGTTTCATGGAAGACAATTTTCCATGCATGGGGAGGGGGGATGATTTCGGGATGAAACTGTTCCACCTCAGATCATCAGGCAAGTGTTAGATTCTCATAAGGAGCATTCAGTCTAGATCCCTTGCATGCGCAGTTCACAATAGGGTTTGTGCTCCTAAGAGAATCTAATGCCGTCGCTGATGTGACAGGAGGTGGAGCCCAGGCGGTAACCTGCCCACCGCTCACCTCCTGCTGTGTGGCCTGGTTGACAGCAGGCCACAGACTAGTACCCGTCTCCAGCCCAGGGGTTGGGGAAACCCTGAGATAGAACGACTCCCTCCACAGGTGTCACGGCTAAAGACAGGTCTACAGTGGCTGAGAGAGGAAAGGGGAGTTTAGCAAAGCAACCTGCTCTGTTTCCTTTTAGCCTTTCCTTTGGAAAGTTATTCTTTCTTTTAAATCAAGAGCCTCTGACTTGAATAGCGCCTTTAGCATATGAAACTGTTTCCTAAGTTTGATTTCTCTGTGAGAGATACAAGATTCCTGAAATGTAAATTCACTTTCATAGTGCCTTTGATCTTATAAACATTCATCTTCCAACTTAGCATACATTTTTGTGTTCTGATGCTTCTATTTTGTTATCTCCAGATGTACATTCTAAGTTATTACAAAGAAAAACAATTGCTTTTCTCTTACTTGGAGAAGTACCCCATTTAATTATGTGGATGTTGAGCACCCATTTCTTTCTGAGGTTGCTTTTTGCTTAGTATTCAATCTCACTTCTTCCCAGTCTTCTCCTTCTTCTACTCCTCCTCCTCCTTCTTCTTCTTTTTTAAATTGAGGGGGTATGTGTGCAGGTTTGTTACATGGATATGTTGCATGACGCTGACTGAGGTTTGGGCTTCTGTTGAACCCTTTACCCAAATGTTGAACACAGTACCCGATAGGTAGCTTTTCAACCCTTGTTTCCCTTCCTTTCCTCTTTTGGAGTCCCAGATGTCTACTATTTCCATCTTTGTGTCCATGTTTACTCCATGTTTAGCTCCTACTTATAAGTGAAAACGTGCGGTATTTGATTTTCTGTTACTATGTTAATTCACTTAGGATAACGGCCTCCAGATGCATCCATGTTGCTGCAAAGGACATGATTTCAATCATTTTTATGGCTATGTAGTAGTTCATGGTGTATATGTACCACATATTTTTATCTACTCCACTGTTGATGGGCACCTAGATTGATTCCATGTATTTGCTATTGTGAACAGTGCTGAATTGAACATGTGAGTGTAGGTGTCTTTTGGGTAGAACAGTTTCCTTTCCTTTGGGTATATTCCCAGTAATAGGATTGCTGGGTCAAATGGTAATTCTATTTTAGTGCTTTGAGAAATCTCCAAACTGCTTTCCACAGGGGCTGAGCTAATTTACATTTCTACCAACAGTGTATAAGCATTCTACTCTGACCAAAATGGTCCTGGTTTCATAATTGATAACTAGAAGCCCCCTAGTGAGAAATGGAAGAATTTCCATAGACTAAGCTCTAATGCTGACAAGCCAGGTCCCCCATAGCTCTGAGAGTTGACAATGTCTGGTGCAGGATCCATTTCACAAGGGCCTGGCACTCAAGGGTGATGTCTGTAGGGGACGGGGGAGTAAAGAATGGTGAAGTGAGTGGGTGAGGTCTAATGCTGGGCTTGAGCAGGAGGTGCTACAACCAGTGAGCCACACTGCAGGGGCTGGTACAGGATAGCGTGACAGCTGCTTCTTGGCTTGTGTCTAACTGGGCCAGGAGGCACCGTTGCAACAGGCAAGATGATGTCACATACATTAACCCGAATGAACATTAAAGGCGGGACTCCCTGTTCAAAAGTTCTTTGTCTCCCTTAAATAATCCTTGAGGGCATATTGGAGGTGATGCAATTTGCAATGATGCAACCCAGAAACTGGGACTACACATGATGACAATGGAGAGCTATGCAGACTTGTCCTCTCAACAGCTGACTTGGAGATGTTAATGCTTGAATCTGATGAGTGGAAAATTAATGGCAACATCTATAAGTTGTGGAATGCCATAGTTAAAGCCACAGCAAGACTTATATTTACTTACAACAGAGGATTGCCATTTTAATGAAGTCTTTTCAGACCAAGGAGAGTAAAACATTTGAAACTAACACATATACATATGACTTATCTTCTAAGTAATATCTGACAAAAAATAGTTGATCATGTTTCATCAGAGCAAAAACAATAAAGGAATATTCAATATGGCACAAATCTAGATTCCATCCCCAAACTGAGAAGACCTTTTCTTGGCTTGCATTGGAACAGAGTTTAACCTAAGCTATACAATTCCCTTCTACAGAAAGCAAATCAATCTCCTTGAAATTGATGGAAAAGTGAACCATTTGCTAAGTCTCTCCCCATGGACCTCTTCAGGCAATTTGCAGGGAGTGTTACAAGAGCTTGGTTGTGTGATGACCACATAGGGGATTATGCATTAATCCCAGACACCTGGAATACTGGTTCCCTCCCTGAAGGAACTGGCTAGTGAGGAGCTGTCTACTGTCCTGGTGAGAGACAGCTCATCACTTCTTCAATGACAGATCAATTTATAACGTACATGCTACTTTTAATCTAATGCATGTATCAGAAGACTTGCCGAGGCTTCTTAAGTCAGAATCTAGTAACTTGGAATTTATAGTTATTCTTTTCTCCAGGAGCTAAGCTGACCTTTGCATTGTCTATGAAGAATGAGTTTGCCAAACTCATCATGGCAACAAGCTATAATGGGGGTTATTAATTCACTAAAACTTTTCCTGAACTCATATGTACTTTTGCTCGAGTAGAATGCTGACGACAAATAATTTTATCAATTTGTATTGAAGAAGATTCCTTCAGAATCTCTCCAGGGAATTACTTGTAGTTTAGTTCTGGTTAGCATGTAATGCCATAAGAATCTAGTATCATTTAGACCAGACACTTCTTCAGATATCAAAAGTAAGAGACTGTAACTGATTCTCTGACCTCTGACTAAAGGCAAATATAAAGAGTTCTGTGGACTAAAGGTTGTTTCTCCTGGGAAGGATGTGGCTTTATTACTGTTGCCCATAGTAACTGGTCAGCCTCTGTGTCTTAGAAGGGAGCTGAGAAGTCTGGAAAGGGTATACCTACCTGTCCTGGCTGAGCAAGAGGGCCATCAGAGTGGAGACCACTGTTGCCAGCCAGCCAGTGAGAGCCCACCAGGGGTTCTGAACAAGAAGTCCCACCAGAATCAGGATTCCACTGATGGGGTTGTTGACAAACACCACTTGGGATATGCCCCGAAGAATCCAGTTGACGAACTGGAGCACCACAGGTTTGTCTGGAAGGGATGATATAAAGCAGAGCTGAGGAAGCAGCCAGCTGACACTCTCCAACCACAGGCCCACCCTGAGCAAAATCAGCAAAATCTCCTGGAAGTCAAACGTATTTTTGATATTTCTTTATTTCTTTCTCTCTGAATGCTTTGTCCCTTTAGTGGCACCCAGATCCCTGCATCTATCTACCATATGCTCAACTCACACGGCCCCTCCTAGAATCTAAGCTCCTGAAAGCATCGAATGCACTTATTTATCATGCTTACAGGCACAAACTCTGAAGCCAAAGGAATGAATTTCCAATAGTAAATTTAACTTGTAAGTACTGAAACTACAAGATGAAGCCAGGTGCCTTCTTCTAATATGAGCTGGGCCCTGGCCACTGTCTGCATAAGAAAAAAAAGTTGGAGAAGTTTGCAGGTTAAAAGATAAAAAGTAGAAAAACGGTGAGTAAAGAGATCTATAAAAAGTTGGACAATGTAACTAAAAATATAAGTAGAAGTACCAGGAAACCATTTCCCCCAAAGCTATTTCTCCCGTCTTTCCAAAAGTTGAAAGCATAAATACCTTGAAGCCAGTTGGCAAGTTCTTTCATATCACCGGTGACATAGCCAAGAGCTTTGGGGAAGCACCTTCTCCCTCGACATGGTGAAACCTGGTTTTCACCCCTGTCCACTCTAACCATAGTGGGGCTATCCTCCATGGCTATCTCTTCCTCTGGCTCCTTGAGGGAAGGACAGAGTTCATAAGTATCCCTAAAGCAGAGCCCTCCAAATTAGCCAGCTTTGGGCCTGGTTACAGCAGAAGATCTTGACCATTATGTTCCATAGAACTTAAGAGAGCACCATTTTCCTTCTGAAATACCACCACAGAGCTTATTGCCCAAACCCAAATCCCACAGTACCTTTGTCATCAGTGTCTCTAATGCTACCATGAGAAGTTTATGGTCTTTAATTTCATAATGTTCAGTGTCTGGTCCAACAAACATTTACTGAGCACATATTTCCTGCACTTATGGAGCTCAGTCTAGTTGAGAAGACTGAAAAACAGTTAATGTCAACAGAATGAGTGAAATCATGGAAAGAGCTAAAATCCCGTGCTTAGGCTCCACGCTGTCAATTAAGGATCAAGAAATCATGTTATGGAGTAGCCTCGTCACCAATGCAGGCTGATCAGCTGCTTGTCAAGACAGGCAGCCTTTTGAAATTAAGTTTTTATTTTATGAAAATTTTATTTTTAAAAGATTGAAAGGGAAGAAATTTTAAAAATTGAGTGTGTTGACACTGCCTCCCCAACCTCTGCTAGTCCAAGATTGCTTGGATTTGTCCTTATGTCATATGACTGCCTCAGATAGTCTTTACTTTTGGAATTTGTTATTTAAATGTGTAAAACCAGGCAAGAATGCTGTTTCACCAAGGTAGAGAAACTGGGACAGATGGAACTGGACAAAGCTGTTGAAAACCAAAGAGCTGTAATCTAAGGATTGTATGATAGAAAAATGTGCAGGGCATAATTCTAGTAAACACACCTCTGGAACTTATGAACACTGTAACCATGACTGTGTTCACTATGGGACCATTCACTTCTCATGATAGATTTCTTTTTCTGCAAGAAAGCACCAATATCACCAGAATTTGGTACCTGGAAGACAAAAATGATGATTTCATAGTGCTGATGGTAGACACAAAAGAGTACCAGTGGCATAATCCCAGAGGCAGGCTGAGGGAGGAAGCCAATGGCAAAACCACCTTGAGTGTGCAAGAACAGCCAACAGCACAGCCAGGTCAATTGGGAAGCAGGGAAACGCCAAAATCATCAGACCCTGGAAGGCATAATTGTGGAATGTTGAAGCCACAGCCATATAAGACACCACTACATGAAGAAACACTGAAAGCCCACGCAGAGACACCAGCCTATCTTCTCCATGTTACCAGGCTGTGATCAAATGGTCCTCATGGCTATTTCTGGCCCCATCATTGTTCCATCTACCATATCTAACAAATAGCAATGAATAGATAGTAAGTTATATCTATTTTAAAAAATTGAACTCTAGCTTTGGCTTCTATTAATCCCAGTAAGGAAATCAATATGAGTAACTGATTTATCGCTAGCAATTACATTTCAATTGTATTACCTCACTACCCAACTAACCATTCTGCTTTTTAAACAATGATGAACTATTAATTGTTGCACAAAAAAAGCAGCTATTTACACACTGCATTCCAGACCAAGGTCATTTTGTCTTGGCAAAACAGTGTTGACACCAACATCTGTGTGACTTGCAATGAATCTTGGCGGTCAGGAACCAAAACTAAGTTCACATGGAGCTGAGTTGGCTCGATAGTTAAAGATGAAACATTGTATGAATAATTAAGCACCTATGAAAAGTTACCTTTTATTTCATAATCCGTCAAAGTGGTGGCTATCATTTATTTTCAGATTATCTCCTTCAAATTTCATAGCTGAAAATATTGCTTGGTAAGCCCCTGCCTCTGCTGCAGTGACCCATTTTCAAAGCCATACCAACTTATGGGAGGCATCAGGCTTCAGCTCAGGCAAGGACTAGCAGCCCAAAGACATAACTGCCTTCAGTTTCTGGAACTGAATCTATGAAGCCCTAAGGTGGCAGTATCAAATGCAAACACTCAGGTGGCATTTTCCATCAACTACCAAAGAAGGAACTTGGGCTGTTTCAGAACAAATGAATTCATGTTCTCAAAATTTCCAGCATATATTTATTTATTTTAGAGGGGTTTAAATATCCCATCACCTCAGAGATTTTAGAGATACAGATTCGAAACCTGATAATATAACTGGCCAGACGTGATTGAGAACCTGAATGGCCTGAGTCTCCTGTTAAGCCACCCAAAGTTAAATAAAGATTAAACTAGTTTTCTCTAAATCTGCAGCCCAACATATAGAAGACTTATTGCAATTTGTGAATCTAATTTCAACATGACTGGGGTGGGTCGTAGGGCTAGGATGTCCTGCAGAGAAGGGTCTTCTCATGACCTGAGCAGACAGTTGCTGCTGTTTTCAGAGTCCCCAGGAACCATTTATTCTGAACTGCTGAACCCTTCTGGAGCCCCTGGGAGCCCTGACTACTTGCTTCAGAAGTCAGACATGAGAACTCCTTAGGAGAAAATAACTTAAAGTTGTAGTTCACTCTAGAATTTTGCCATGCTAGAATATTTGCATTTCTTGGGGGACTTTAGGAGTCTACACATCCTGACTGGGAAGACAATTCAAAGCTGTGGAGCCAGGACCTTCTGCCGATGCTCAGACATCTTAGCCCCAGTGAAGCAGGCCATTAATTTCAACTAAGAAGAAGGGACAATAAATGAAAGGCACTCTAATAAAGTAGACACAGAGTAAATGTAAAACCACAGGTGACTTCCCCCCAGCTTTCTCATGGCTGTCAAAACTCCTCGGCTCAATGGTGCAGCCTCCAAACCAAGATGAGCACCGCAGGGCTTTTTGGACCAAGACCCCTGTGCTTTTGGCTCATCTCACAGCCAACCCCGACTTCCCAGGCTCTGCCCAGAAAACACACACCAGAGTTTGGAGCAGGCTCCCAGGTTCCCCGAGCCAGAGGCTGCATGAAGGAAGCATACCTGTTCATGCGACCCATCTGCCAGGGCCAAGCTTAGCTGGTCGATGCCTCTGCGCACTGCCTCACCAGCTTTAGTTCCAAAAGAGTCCTTCCAAACAGGACCATGACAGGCGTCACCAGCGCTGCCAATCAAAGACCGTCCATTCATCCTTCCTTTTTCTCAATACGTGACAAAGGGCAGAAATATGTGAATCAGTGTGACGTGTGCCCTAGCTCCAATGACCATGCAAAAGGCAAGCTGAGGGAGGCTGGAGCGCACCCCGCAGGCTCCTGGTGAGGGAAGACGTGGCCCCACATGGGAGACCTCTAACAGAGAGGGAGGACTTCCCCTTCACCAAAGAGCTCGCAGTGGGTGGAGGGACATCCAGCCGACTATGGATATTAAATGTTCATTTACTTTGCTTAAGGAAAAATAATAACAATGGCAAGCCATCCTACACGGAGACCAATGCCCAGATTTTGTTCTGCTGTGTGTCTCTGCTGGTGGATCTGAAGCCGCCTGTTCCAGAGGGGAGAATGGACTTCATGTTCTGAAACATTTGGGGGCAGATTGTAAAGGCTGCATCTTGGGGACCAACACCAACGCAACAGGTTGCTCTACAACAGGTTCCCCTGGTCTTGTTTATGAAACATGGGAAGAAGGATGCATGATGTGGGCTCTATTTTCTATAATAAGATACTAGCCACAGTTTGTATGCATGCATAAACCTGCTTTGAGAATCTCCTAAGTGGTGGGTTTTTTTTTTTTTTTTTGCCCATGCCACCACATCCAGCTAATTTTTAAAATTATTGTTACTATTTGTTTTTGCAGAGACAAAGTCTCATTGTGTTGTCCAGGCTGGTTTTGAATTTCTGGCCTCAAGTGATCATCCCACCTCGGCCTCCCAAAGCACTGGGGATTACAGGCATAAGTCACTGTGCCAGGCCAGGAACTCTTAAATTTGGAACATTACTTTGTTAATAATAAACAGTTTTTAGTTAAATTCTACAAATGTGGCAGCTTTTTATAAATTTCCTTTTTCCTTTTTAAAACTTCATTGCATCCAAGAATATCACTCTTTTTCCAGAAGTTTCAAAACAGTTGTGTGTGTGATATTTCTCTTTTTCTCCCTCTGTTGTTTATTCTAATTTTACTATTTTCTGCTGGCTTGGCCTGAAACCTGAAAACCTACTCTTTACCAGAGTGACTCAGAAAAATCCACAATTTTGAAAAATGCTTCTGACGTGTCTCAGGTAAAATTGTGGTGTGCATGTGTGTGTATTTGCCTATGGTAAACTAGCTGGCTAGTTCTGCACTAGTTCTGGCTAGTTCTGTGCCTGCGTGTTGCATTATGAATTTTTTTTTTTTTTTTTTTTTGAGACGGAGTTTCACTCATGTTACCCAGGCTGGAGTGCAATGGCGCGATCTCGGCTCACCGCAACCTCCGCCTCCTGGGTTCAGGCAATTCTCCTGCCTCAGCCTCCTGAGTAGCTGGGATTACAGGCACGCACCACCATGCCCAGCTAATTTTTTGTATTTTTAGTAGAGACGGGGTTTCACCATGTTGACCAGGATGGTCTCGATCTCTTGACCTCGTGATTTTATTTGATAAAGAACAAATGGTTAAGAAACCCAGTGCTAAGGCTCTCATGTTATATAAAGCTAAAAACAAAGAAATAAAGAATGAAGAATGAAAAAGAGACAGGCAGGGGTTGTCACATTCTCTTAGTGTAGACACCTTCCCCTTCTGCCCCTGCCTGGCGCCTGCCTTTCCCCTACCATAAAAATCACACACCTTGGAGAACCACTTCCTTGAGCCCAACATCAGTGTTTTCCTAGAACCAAGAGACTGGGAAATTTGAGAGCTAGGTAGGATTTTAGAGACCAAGTAGTTCAAGCTTTCTTCTTTTTTTTTTTTTTTTGAGACAGAGTTTTGTGCTTGTCACCCAGGCTGGAGTGCAATGGCACGATCTCAGCTCACTGTATCCTCTGCCTCCCAAGTTCAAGTGGTTCTCCTGCCTCAGCCTCCTGAGTAGCTGGGATTATAGGCATATGCCACCACACACAGCTAATTTTGTATTTTTATTAGAGACAGGGTTTTACCATGTTGGTCAGGCTGGTCTCGAACTCCTGACCTCAAATGATCTACCTACCTCAGCCTCCCAAAGTGCTGGGATTACAGGCATGAGCCACCATGCTGGCCCAAGCCTTCATTTTATAGAAGAGAAAACTGAGGTTCAGAGTGGGCACCATCCAAATTCACTCAGCATGCGGCAGGCAGAGTGGGTCTTGTGAAATAGGTCGGTTCTGGTGGTTCTTAATTTTTCGGTCTGGGGCCAGGCACATTAATGCCACCCAAGGTTCTGTTAAGCTGACAAATAAGTGAAGCAGCAGTTTCTGTGGGCTGGAGTCTGCAGCAGGGGCCAGGAGTAGGCAATGCAGTGGGCACAGACTGTCTCACAGTCCCTTTGAACTATTCTTGGGGTGGGGTTGAATAACCACAAAGAAAGGGCTCTGCCATCCCCAGTTTTACCCTATGCCCTTGCCAGAAGCAGTTACTGTCTGACAAACAAATGTCTCCTTGTGCCTCAAAGCGGACACATCTACAACAAGGCTTGTGTGTGCTAAAGTTAACATCCCAAGAATATTCTGGAAGCTGCACCTGAAGAGCTCACCAGCAGAAGTGGAAAGAACTTTTCATCCTCCAGATCACTAGTAAAATGAAGCAGTGCTTAGCATTTTAATACGAGGCAGTATCAAGATTTCAATTAAACTAATCTCCCCTATTTTATCACACGAAATAAAATGTATTCTATTGCCGGCATGTATTAGAAATGTGTGCAGTTGGAGAGACCTGAAGTCTTCAATTTTCCATGCCTCAGCTATTACTTTTAAAAATAATATGAAGTGTTGGCTATGAATATGGAAGAAAGCATTTAAACACTCATGCTGTAGCATAATAAACAGATCTTCAGCATTGGAACTTATTTGGTACTTACTATAATCTTTATTTTAGGTAGTTTTTGATTTTAAGTGGCAGGAGATGCCTAGTTTTCTTTAAAGCTGTAATCAGAAACAAAGAAAGCGCTGTCAGATATTCCTGTGTCCTGGTTAAAACACTTCCCTCCTTAGAAAACGCTACTCTCAGAAGTCTTGGTTCCACACATCAGAAAGTGCAGCTGCAAGGAAACTGCCGAATTCGTGGCTTCAGTTGTGACTGACTTGTTCTCCTGATGGGTGCACAAGAACATTTCCTTCAGCATGACGGCACACGCAGAGGAGTTCATAAATCCATCATTGGAAAGGGCCATTCCCAGTTGCCTACTTTTTTCTTTTGAGTCATGTAGACACTTGTCTCAAACTTATTTCAAGAACACAGTCTGAATTGTTATTTCAAGAACACGGCTTGAAACTCCTAATAGTGTCAATTAACTCAGAATCATTGATCACCTTGGGTGGACACCTCCCTGCAAACCCTCTTCCAAATCAGCTCAGGTGCTGCATGCACCTTGCTTCAGAAATCACAAATAAAGCATGCCTTTGAGCTTCCAGGAAGAAGCCTGCGGCTTTGGTAAATTGCTTTCTAGTCTATCAGAACTCTGATTTTGCTGCTTCTGATCAAGTCTGGCAATATAAAACATTTTCTTTATTAAGAAAAAGAGAAAAACTTAGGACTGTGAAGACAAGCTCCAAATGGTGAATAGTGGGAAATGAAAAGAAATGAGTATGAGTACTTACGCCACTCTAGCTGGCTTCCTGACGGCAGAAGGTAGTGGCTGATAAAGATTTGCCCGGCTCCACAACAAGGAAGAGTGCGTCCCAGGAGATAGTGCTGGAGGGAGGCACCTAACAGTTATATACCCAGAGCCCTGCTCTGCTCTGTGTGTTTGTGGGCTCAGCTTTCTCCTCCCACTGCAGGCACCAATGCCAAAGCAACACCAAGGAACTGGTCCCCTGGCTTCAGTATCTGGTGTCTCTCTCTCTCTCTCTCTCTCTGTTCTTGACATGGTGCCAGCTGCTTTGCCATTGTTTCCATGGCATTCCAAGATCTTTGACCAGCAAGAATCCTACCAAAATGCATCTTTTTCTTCTCCTGTTTCCTCTGGCCCCCTACTCATGTTTTTGGAAAGATTTACAACTGAAAAAAGGATCAACGGTGTTAAAGTAAAAACCATGGGGCAGGTTTGCTGCCGTGTGGACTTGGAAGCTAAGTGACTGCCCCTGGGGTAAAATTTTCTTAGACTTACTTGACACAACTTCTGTACAGATATAAGACTCCAGTAAGAGCCTCAGGGTCTGTTGGGAGGGTGGGGAAGATAAAGTACATGCAAATTGTTTTCTGTAAGCCAGGCACCCTTTTCTCCAGTGAGGAGAAAACAAAAATATCAGTGTTTCCCTGGAATGTCCCTCTTTTCAGTTGAGAATGCTTGGACATACTCTGCTGCCTCTTAAAAGTCAGGAAGCAAACATTCCATAGCAGGGGGATCTAAAACTGAATTAAAATATCTCCTTCTTCCTCCTTCTTTTTAAATTTCAATTTTGTGGCTTGTTCTATTATGGTAAAAATCTAACTGAAATGTACTTTTATGAGCACAGAATTAAAAAAAAAAATGTAATTCCACAGCCAGCCATGCAGATATCATAGGTCTTCTTTCGTCTGGGTCTCTCGTCTGCTTGGATGTGCAGATAGTACTTATCAGCCTTCAGCAAGGTGGCCTGTGGCTAGGAGCTCTCTGGCTCCACCCACTGGACACATGCCAGACCACAAGTTCCTTGTCTGCTTGGGACATCCTTCCTCCAAGGGCCTCTGGAGCACTGGGGCCTGAGGGGAAACCCATAGGTCCAGGTTTATAATAAGAGTTTTGAGGTTCAGGCAGATCTCCTTCCAACATTTTTTCCCTGGTAAAAAAAGGAGCAAATAAGCTACTAGGGTTTCCCTAAAGTAGAAAAATGAATCACCAGGAGACAGTGTGAGTGGCCTGCTTTGGGAATGAAAGGAATCATACGAGTGTCTCCACGACTTCCTTATGCAAATGGGCCACTGACCCTGATAGAAATAATCAGCGTAGTGAGAATGATAAGAATTGCCACAAATGGTTGAGCATTTGCAAAAATCCTATGTTATACTATTGTCCCCATTTTGTAGATGAGCAAACTGAGGCTCAGAGTTTAAATAACTTATCAAAGTCTGACTCAGCCTTTGTACTTTTAACCACCCTAGTGCTGTCCAGTATTTCCAACTTCTGCCCATATGTTTGCTTTTCATTTATTCATTCATTCATTCACTCAGCCATGATGCATATTTACGGACCTCATCCTGAAGCTGCTTCCACACGACACCCATGCAACCTTCTGCCTCAGTGGCACTGGTCAGCGCTGAGGGTGTGTAGTGAGTCTCAGGCCTTCTTGGAAAAACCACCTCCTTCTTTACCCACCCTCCCTCCCTGGCCTTTCTCCTGGTCCCTGTAAAGCCACACCTTAAGTGGGGGTCACAAAACACAGCCTTGCCATATTGCATGCACAAGGCAGTGCAAAGCACATGGAATTTCAAGTCGGATAGACCTGAGTTTGAATACTGGCTTTTCTCTGACAAGCTGTATGACCTTAGGCTTGTTACTCACTGTCTCTGAGCCTCAGATTCCTCAGTGTAAAGTGGGATAACTTTACTTCCTTTATAAAGTCGTGATGAGGGATGACGTCTTTAAAGCACCATGC